TTAATTTAAAAAGGAATACTTGAATGTAGAGAGAAATTTTGAACTTATTTCCACCTAATCACATAATCTCAAAATGTACAAAGCAAAAATTGGCAAATATGGAAGAAAAATGAACAAATCCACAGAGCGGGAGATTTTATTACACATCTCTCAGTAATTGATACATCAAGCCAACAGAACATTAGTAAGGCCCTACTAGTCTTGACCAACGCAATTAATAAGATTAGGTATTCCTGTACCTATTAAACCTAGCTTGACTGTGCTGGAAATAATTGGCAGTTCTTGCCATTTGCTTATTATAGCACTTTGATATCCCTCTCTGGTCTTTTTCCTGTGCTTTAGAGCACCTGGGGGGATGTATAGGTATTGCCTTTCAGCAAAATCTGACAGGGAACTGCATACCAGTCTTTTCTGCTTGCAGATACTTAGAAACTTCATGGGGCAACAAGTCTGATGCTCTCAACCATTTGGAGTTGGTTAGGAAAGGTCACATGCCATTCTCTTAGCATCCCCCAAACATTCTTTTTCCTTCCTCAATTCCAACTTCCCTTTTTCCTTTAGTTTTGTCCTCCTTCCATCTTCCTTTCTTCTTCTTTTTTTTTTTTTTTTTGCGATACGTGGGCCTCTCACTGTTGTGGCCTCTCCCGTTGCGGAGCACAGGCTCCGGACGGGCAGGCTCAGTGGCCATGGCTCACGGGCCCAGCCGCTCCGTGGCATGTGGGATCTTCCCAGACCAGGGCACAAACCTGTGTCCCCTGCATCGGCAGGAGGACTCTCAACCACTGCACCACCAGGGAAGCCCCCTTCTTTTTTTTCCTTTTCCCCTTTCCCTCTCTCTTCCTATCTCTTTCTTTTGACCCTTAAATATTATTTTAGATCTTCCTGGTGATAGAAAAGCAAAAGTAATTCAGCCAGCCTCTTTTGAAGTGATAAGACCCATTTTAACCAATATTTCAAAAATTGAATTTGTCAGTAATTAGTATGGGTTTCTATCATTTTAAATTATTGTTATTTTATTGAATAGTATACTAAATTTGACAATTTAAGCAGTGAACCATTTCAGAAAATGGTTTTACCTGAGTGGACGATGCTAATGAAAACATTTTACAAAATAAATCAAGCACACTCTTAAATTGCAATTGCTGAACTTTTTTCTTTTTTATATGAAGTCTTTTGGCACACTTCATGATTTTGATATTAAATGAGTAAACTCAGTAATGAGAACTTGTTAGCACACAATGAATCTATCACTTACTTTGCCAGAGTATTTGTGAGGTAGATGCTCATGTGCCGAAAAGAACATAATAAAGTAACTAAAATGGGTAAAATTCCAACTGGCAAGTGATTTGGTCCTTTACTTGTGTAATGGGAAAAAAAACTACGCTAAATCTTTCCAGTAGTAGATGGAAGTGGGATTAGCAAATAGGCCAAAACATGATTTGAAAATATAATTACTCATACATTAATTTATAACAAATATCTGTTTATTATAAGTTCATTTTATAAATGAATTCATATCATAAATTTATTCATTCTCCCGATACCTCATTTTCTGAGTTAAGGATTTCTGACTATTGTTTGCTAGTAATATCCTTATATAATTAACTATAGAAGATAATGACCAATTTACTGTATTACTTAGTCTCTTCCACTTTTCTGATGTACTTTCATATAATCATGGAATGTTAAAGCAGAAAGAAACCTAAGAGATCAGTTAATCAAATTATATTCTTTAGAGCTGTAACATTCTTCTGAAGTGCTTTGGTTTGTCTATAGGAAGGCTGTGGAAGTGAATCGGAGCTTCTAGTGTCTTACTTCAACCAGATTGACTCTAGGTTAATTTGTTTTATATACTGAGATTCTGTCTTAGGTATTGTTCAGATACATTCCCCACCCCACCCCGCCCCACCAAGCCAAAAAATAAAATGTTTGAAAGCTACTGATCAAATCTCACTCCTTAATTTAAACAGATTAAGAACTTGAATTCTGAAAAAGACCTCTAAGTTGTTTGCCCAAGATCACACAATGTAGAAGAGGAACTAAAACTAGAAAACAGAGCTTTTAACTGTTAGTTGATTGCATCTTTCACCTCACCAGTTTAATGCATGTATCTTGCTTTGGAGTTAAGATATGGTAGATTGTTTCAGTAAAAGCCCAGGTGGATCCTATCTGCCTGTACACATGTTATATGTGGTCTCAGCTCCCTGGTCTTGGCCATGTGACTTGCTTTGGCCAATGGATTGTTAAGGAATTCGAAAGAAGCAGATATATATGATAACCATTTGTGCACAAGGCTCTCATTCTTTTGCTACTGGTCATTCTTCTGTACTGTATGAAAAATGTTGGGCTCATCTCATAGAAGGTTAGAGAGCTCATGGACAGAATTCCCAGTTGAGGTCCTAATGCATGAGTGAGCCCAGCCAATACCACATGAAGCAGGTAAGCTTTCCCAAATGAGGTTAGGCCACAGAATCATGAACAAATAAATGGTGTGTTTGCTTTTTTTTTAACCACTAAGTTTTGGAGAGTTTGTTATGCTGTTTTAGCTGACCAAAACAGCAGTATTGATTTATTGTCCCAACCATGACCTATTCTAGGATCTGAAATTGCACATTTTTTTTAACAGCAAAATTTTGCAATTTGTTGGAGAAGACTGAATATAGGAAATTTAGGACATCCTGACAACGTCAATACATGCTTCAGGAAAAAATCATGAAATACAAAGGCATGTTCTATATAGAGAGAATGCCTGGAAACCCTGTGACCCATGGACAGCCCTCAATCCAAGCTCTTTCTCTTACTGAATTTTTTTTTATATTGAAGTATAGTTGATTTACAATGTTGTGTTAGTTTCAGGTGTACAGCAAAGTGATTAGTTTTATATATATATATTTTATATATTCTTTTTTTTTTTTACATCTTTATTGGAGTATAATTGCTTTACAATGGTGTGTTAGTTTCTGCTTTATAACAAAGTGAATCAGTTATACATATACATATGTTCCCATATCTCTTCCCTCTTGCGCCTCTCTCTCTCCCACCCTCCCTATCCCACCCCTCCAGGCGGTCACAAAGCACCGAGCTGATCTCCCTGTGCTATGGGGCTGCTTCCCGCTAGCTATCTACCTTACGTTTGGTAGTGTATATATGTCCATGCCTCTCTCTCGCTTTGTCACAGCTTACCCTTCCCCCTCCCCATATCCTCAAGTCCATTCTCTAGTAGGTCTGTGTCTTTATTTCTGTCTTACCCCTAGGTTCTTCATGACATTTTTTTTCTTAAATTACATATATATGTGTTAGCATACAGTATTTGCCTTTCTCTTTGTGACTTACTTCACTCTGTATGACAGACTCTAGGTCTATCCATCTCATTACAAATAGCTCAATTTCATTTCTTTTTATGGCTGAGTAATATTCCATTGTATATATGTGCCACATCTTCTTTATCCATTCATCCGATGATGGACACTTAGGTTGTTTCCATCTCTGGGCTATTGTAAATAGAGCTGCAGTGAACATTTTGGTACATGACTCTTTTTGAATTATGGTTTTCTCAGGGTATATGCCCAGTAGTGGGATTGCTGGGTCATATGGTAGTTCTATTTTTAGTTTTTTAAGGAACCTCCATACTGTTCTCCATAGTGGCTGTACCAACTCACATTCCCACCAGCAGTGCAAGAGTGTTCCCTTTTCTCCACACCCTCTCCAATATTAATTGTTTCTAGATTTTTTGATGATGGCCATTCTGACTGGTGTGAGATGATATCTCATTGTAGTTTTGATTTTCATTTCTCTAATGATTAATGATGTTGAGCATTCTTTCATGTATTTGTTGGCAGTCTGTATATCTTCTTTGGAGAAATGTCTATTTAGGTCTTCCGCCCATTTTTGGATTGGGTTGTTTGTTTTTTTGTTATTGAGCTGCATGAGCTGCTTATAAATTTTGGAGGTTAATCCTTTGTCAGTTGCTTCATTTGCAAATATTTTCTCCTATTCTGAGGGTTGTCTTTTGGTCTTGTTTATGGTTTCCTTTGCTGTGCAAAAGCCTTGAAGTTTCATTAGGTCCCATTTGTTTATTTTTGTTTTTATTTCCATTTCTCTAGGAGGTGGGTCAAAAAGGATCTTGCTGTGATTTATGTCATAGAGTGTCCTGCCTCTGTTTTCCTCTAAGAGTTTGATAGTTTCTGGCCTTACATTTAGGTCTTTAATCCATTTTGAGTTTATTTTTGTGTATGGTGTTAGGGAGTGATCTAATCTCATACTTTTACATGTACCTGTCCAGTTTTCCCAGCACCACTTATTGAAGAGGCTGTCCTTTCTCCACTGTACATCCCTGCCTCCTTTATCAAAAATAAGGTGACCATATGTGCGTGGGTTTATCTCTGGGCTTTCTATCCTGTTCCATTGAAAAGATTACAAGATACTGAATATAATACCCTGTGCTATACAGTAGGACCTTGTTGCTTATTTATTTTACGTATAGTAGTTTTATGTATAGTAGTTTGTATCTGCTAATCCCAAACTCCTAATTTATCCCTCCCCTACATTTCCCTTTTGGTAACCAGAAGTTTGTTTTCTATGTCTGTGAGTCTGTTTATGTTTTGTAAATAAGTTCACTTGTATCATTTTTTTTAGATTCCACATATAAGTGATATCATATGATATTTGTCTTTCTCTGACTTACTTCACTAAGTATGATAATCTCTAGGTCCATCCATGTTGCTGCAAATGGCATTATTTCATTCTTTTTTATAGCTGAGTAGTATTCCATTGTATACATATACTACATCTTCTTTATCCATTCATCTGTCGATGGACAGTTAGGTTGCTTCCATGTCTTGGCTATTGTAAGTAGTGCCGCTATGAACATTGGGGTGCATGTATCAAATTAGAGTTTTCTCCAGATATATACCCAGGAGTGGGATTGTTAGATCATATGTGCTGGATGCCCATTTTTATGGGTTATTTTAAAAACGGTAGGTCACACTGACTTCTTCCAGTAGCTAAAGTTATATAAAATTAAGTGTTTTTTCATTAGAGAGATTCTCTGTTTATGTTCCTTTATTTTCTTTAGTAACTATAATCTGGTAAATTTACTTATCTTTGGTTATCTTTAATTACAGAACCCTAGCAACTCCCATAGTTACTAGGATCACCTGTAGAGAAAAGGCCCCAGGTGAGCTACATCTAGTAGAGTAAGGATGGAAGGGACAGGTCCAGATTGTCCCTGACATTTGTAATGCCCAGGTCAAAAGTACAAAGGGAAGCCCATATACCATATATCTAAATTTTAAAAGTGGTAAATCAAACTAACAAATTTTTAAATAGAATATAGTCTATTATTCCACCTTGAGAAATAAAGCTTTATACCAACCTAGAAGACCAAAGTTGAATTTAGAATTCTTGGCCTCCTCAGAGTTTTGCACTAGAACATGAAAACACAGGATAGCTGGGCCCTGGGCATGTGCCCACCCCATTCTCTTTTTTCCTTCACATCTAGCATGTATTGTAAGAGGGATTGTGTACAAATTTGTAGGAACCTCAGCCCACATAATTAATCTTGGTTGACATCTTCCCGTTAATAGCCACCTCTTAGTTAGAGGTGGCTATTCTAACTTAGAATTCTTCAATTCTAAGAGTCTTCCAACAGGGGGACTGACATAGGGAAGAGCTCTGTGCAGGCACTGGAAATGGGATCAAAGCACTTTGGATTGTGGATTGTGACATCCCATGAACTTGGAACAAGGATGGGGCTGGGCTCAACATAGGCCTGTCCCAGTGGGCCCATGTCCTCCTTGCATATGCAGAGAGACAATGACAGGAGATTCAGAGTAAGGTTCTAGAAAGCATGAGGCCCAGGACAGCAAGCTCTCTTTCCTTGGTCTAAGGGTATGTGTTAGGTTGGGGATCCCCAACAGCAGACCCTGAGACCAGGTCTTGAGAGCAAGTAGTTTGAGAAGTGATCTCAGGAACCGTAGGTAGAAGTGTGAGAGAGTGAGAGACAGTAAAGAGAGGAAGCCAATTCAGGGAGTGTTAATGAGCAGTTGCCACTGTGAGCAATTTGGGCTCAGTTGCACTGGGGAATCTCTGTGAGTTGGTGTAGAATTCACCTCAGAGTTATTCCAACCCAAGGATAAAGAAGCTGGGTTATTTTTCCACCAGTTTGATACATTATTTGTTGAGGACTGCAACTGCAGGCATTAACTGTCACTTCTGGCCTGATCCATGCGAGGGTTAAGCACCTTCCTATGACTAGAGGAAGCCCTCAAGGAGAAAGGAGCTGTTTTCCATAAAGCCACTGGCCCGCAGGGAGGATTAAATGCTAAGGGGACATGGCAGGGCATGGATGACATCTGCTACAGAGCAGAATTGGAAAAGACTTTGAGAAAACATGTCCCTAAAGGAGAATGATGTTAAGGTAGCACAGTGTGGCCAGGAAAATTTCCAAGTTTCTAAATATGAAAAGTCTCTACCTCTGCTATTTTACATCTAAGGTGATGCGGATACTGTGTGATGAATACCTTAATCCACAAGTAGCTTCATGTTGGTAATATATGATAATATTCCTACTCTTTTTGTCTAGCATGAATTAATTAAATTATTTCAGATGTTTAAGTAAAACAAATATTGTTTTATCAATATATCTTCAACAAAACTATCATTTCCATGAATTCCACTATTATGATGAATTTCTTTTTGGACTTGTAAGGGAGAGGGGCTTGCATGGCTTATTTCTTAGGGTCTTTGCTCATGAACATTTCATGAGTTGGAAAATGTACACTGAAGAATGTCCTTGGCTTTCACTTTCAGACTCAGTATCAATAGGAAGTGCATATTTTTAGGGAAAAGGAAATAGTGTATAACATAAAGCTTTTGATAGAAACTTTATACTTGAGCTTGTGCATTTCAGTTATTGTTTACCATGAAATGGCTAGTTATTCTTTATTGATGATGTAAATAATAATTACTGTTGTAAAGCAATTATACTCCAATAAAGTTAAAAAAATTACTGTTAAGTTGATTAAATTTCGTATTCTAAGAAGTTTAATTTTATTTAAATTACCTAATCTAAGTATTTTCATTTCAATGTGTTCATGTAAGAGAGAAATGTGGTTTCTTCCTTTCTGATAATAAAGCAACAAATTTTAATCAAATAATTATCTCACCTGTTTTGTTCTAATGGTGTTGCCACAATTCAAATACTTTTCTCAGAATGAAAGTAATCAGTGAACAACAGATGATAAAATGTGCCTGGAGTCCTTTTTGACAAGAAAAAAACTTATTCTAAAATTAGATTTGTACTTGAAAAGGACGAAATAAAAATTACAACATTCTGACAGCCTTTGTTTCCTCCTTAGACCAGCTGAGAATCTTGGACTTTGGTTAGATGTAATATAGATTTCAAGTGTGATCCACTGTCAGTGTTTTTTAACATATAACTATGACATTATACATAATATATGCCATATACAACACATAATACATTCTATATAACATATGATGAATATATTTTTAAAATGTGTAGCACAGAACGTATAACACATACATACACATCTTCAATATGTTTTAAAAATGATTTAAAACAGTTAATGTTCTTGCAAGAATGACTGGTCTTCTTGGCATATAGACTTCAGTGTATTTGAAAACAAGTTTGCCATTTTTAACATTGGAGGTGTTAAATGTGAGTGAATTAAAATTATAGCCAATTAATGTCATAATACTTGTCTTGTCCATTGGTTGATAAGCTTGATTTGTCTTCTTGGTTTTGGAGAATTTCCTTGAACAGAGTTAGGCTTCTAAACATTTTTTAGCACTTGTTTCTCATCTATAACTTAAATACTTTGGCTTTAGCAGTGAAATTTGTATTATAGTATTATACTGCATCCTACTTTAGGGTTGAGAGATTTTTATAACTATTTTCTCATTTCCTGGAGAATAAGAAAACGGTGACCTTCAGAGAAAAAGTAGTATTGCTTGGAAGGAAAGGACCAGCATAGACAGCCTGCCCACCATAAGAAATGATATTAGCTATTAACTTAAGGTATATGGTATAACAAGGTGATATGAAAAGTATTCATTGGACATGCCTCTTTTGGCTTCCCTTGGTTATTAACTATGAAAAATTATTTCTATCTGCTGGTCAAGTTGCAACTTATTTTGATTGCTATGGGACAGAGCATTTCTATGTCATAGAAATGTGGCAGATAATATTGCTTGCCAAATATTCCATATATCTCTCAGTTCTCAGCCCCTGCCAGCTGAGAAAGAACCCTGTGGTTGGGTCTGACCAATTAACTGTGATGTGTGTTAACTTTGGGCTGAGCACTAAAAAGCCCTTGAGCAAACTTTCAGTTACTCTTCCCTGACCTGTAAATGAAGAAGGAGTGGTGTGCCTGGGTCCCTCAGTGGCTTTATGGAGCAAACCTTCCTCTGACCTATGCAGGATATATTCTGTCATTAATAAAAAATAAGCTTGCTTGTAATGCCCAGGAGACTGAGGGGTAATGTGTTATCTTGCTATAACCTAGTCTCTTCTGGATTATATAATACAATTAAATCCAAAAAATAAAATATTGCTGTACCTGAAAATGAATCTTAGGATTTATACCATCAAAAATGATTAAACCATTTTTTAATTGTTTTGATAGTTACAGATGGATCTGTTCCAGTTCCTTTACGATTTGTTCCTCTCAGTCCTGGACGCTACCCTTGTAAAATCTTGTTGACATCAAGGTATGATGTGCATGTCTATTGCATTGAAGGTGTGGTAAATGAAGAACGTCCAGAGGCCAGATTTGATTTTGAAACACCAGCATTTGAAGCCCTTACCCAGAATATTCCAATAGTAAGCACAGACTTTTTTTTTCGTACTTTTCTTCATTCCCACTGCCACTGTCTCAATTAAAGTCCTTCAAACCTTTCATCTGAATTACCAATTCCTAATTACATTATGTGTGGCCATTTGTTTCTCCATATTGATGTCACAGTTTTTATTCCCGAATATAAGTGTTATCATATTACTCACCTGATTAATCACTCCTGCTGGATCTCTTTGCTTAAAAAATTAATTCTAACTTCCTTAACCTATCATCAAACCAAGCAGAGTCGTGGTGTCTCAGATCACTCTGCTCCAGATTCAGTTGTGATCTTTACACTTGATTAAGATGTGCTCATAGGCACTAAGAACAGTGATTGGCTGTAGCTTGGCTATTAGTGGGTGATGATAGCATCAAGGAAGGTAATATAATTGTAAGGAATTTTGAATTTTTTACACTGATATTTTTCTATCTGATATTTTTCTGTCTTTATTTTCATGCTTTAGAATAATAAAACAAAGAATGAATGGAAATGTCAAGTTGCTATAGAAGGAGAATGGTTTTATGGACCTCCTGTTTTACATGTTGGACCAAGTGAGACTGTGAATTATCCTCTCACATTCAAACCTATTTTGGAATGTGAGATTATGGTATGAACTCATTGATTTTTTTCCCTAGCTTTAATATGTCGATTAACCAATGTGTGATGTTAACATATATAATTTGTGATAAATTTTCTTGCAGAAAAGTTATATTTTCTGGGGGGTGTGGGGTGGTGGTGTGATGAATTGGGAGATTGGTTGGGATTGACATATATACACTAATATGTATGAAATGGGTAACTAATAAAAACCTGCTGTATAAAAAAAATAAAATTAAACTAAAAAGATTTTTTTAAAAAGTTATATTTTCCATGAATTTGATCATTAGTGTTCACTCTGCTTGAAACTTTAATAAATGTTGTAACTTGAGGGATAAATATTCTGAAAGTCAGAATGTCATAGGCTGTCAATATTTATGTCTAGATTATTTTTACATAATATGTTTAACAAAGTAAAATCATTGCTTTTTTTGTATTCAGTAAGGAAGTTTGTACTTCAGAAAATATTTTCTTAAGTCATATTTCTTTGACAAGGATGTAAACAGGCATATAATTGCTATGTATGAGAATGCCTATTAAACTGTCACTTAGAGAAAGTGAAAAGAAATGAAGAGCTTTTCACAGGAAATTCATCTTTATTCGTTCAGTAGAAGTATTTATATATAAACTGGAAAAAGTAATGACTAGCACCTCCTTGAAAGCTCATTTCATCGATCAGATTCAAGATTACTAAAATAGAAGAGATGGTTGGCATCCAACTGTCACTCCTATAGAGCTGAAATTTGGCTGATTTGTCACAGGGCAAACTTACTCTACAAAATGAAGTAGATGGTATGGAGCATATCTTTGACATAAAAGGGATTGGAAAAAGACCGCTGGCCTTGGAACACATCACCGTAGACTGTCAAGTGGGGGAGATAACAAATAAACCCATAATGATGCCCAATTATACAACAAGCATCCTAACATTTAAGGTAAGATTTTGGTTTGTTTTTTTTTTTTTTGGTATGAAAGTGTTTTCAGAAGGAGTATATTGAATTATATGATATTTTAAAACATTTAATTTTACTTAACTAGGTGAAGCAGTGTGACATAAGGAGATGGTTAGAATTCTCCTATTAGTCCAGCAGCTTTTAAAATGCCATTTTGATTATAAAGTTGAATTAGCACCAAACAAGTTTTATATCTAAATATTAGTATATAATCATAAAACACATTAAAATTTACTTATTTGAGTCATGTGTATTTTCACTTGAAGAAATTGTACATGACAATGAAAGATTTTTTTTAAAAACTTTTAAACAGCTTTTAAAATTGTAATGTGATATCTGCAGGCATGAAATTTCAAAAGTGTATCCTATCATTTACCAGTGTAAATAATAGTGGGAATGTGAAGAAATGCATAATTAGTTACATCTTTATTTTTTATGAGGTTTTGTACTTGGCCCTCCTCCCTTGATTTGTTTAAGCAAATCTGAAAATAAATTTTTCTACTCTCCACTCCCATATTTATCTACAAATTATGTGCCCAATAGAATCCTCAAAGAAGCTTCATATATCTTCCATCATAGATGCCTGAATCTAGTTTTAGAGGGTACATCAGAAGTTTAGAAATTCTCTGGGTTTGTCCTCTGCTTTTTTTGGTAATCTTGAAAAATATGTGCATTGATTTTCTTCTTTTTTCCTTACTGGATTGCAAATAGAGTGAATATTATGAATGAAAATCTCATCTTCTCACTCCCCTGCTAAAACTCTTCACTGTCATCTCTTGCCTTCAGGATTGAGTCCAGGCTCCCTGAAGTGGCTTTCACGTGTTTCAAAAGCCTATCTGCTCAGCTTTCTCTCTTAGCACTCCTGGCTCCGGCCACACTTAGGCCATTGTATATAGTATTTCCTTTTACTACTGCCTGGAAATCTCTATCCAATTCCCTATCTTCCACTTCTCTGTGTATGTCTAACTCCTTTTCATTCTTTATGACAAAGCTTAGATGCCACTTTTCCAAGACTTCTTCTACATCCCCATAAACCTGGATTAGATGCCTTTCATGTGCTTCCACAGCATTTTTTTTTTTACTTTTCCCACCATCATGTACATTACATCCTATTGCTATTACCTGTTCTCCACCAGATTATTCTTCTCCACCAGATTATGAACTGTGAGAAAAGGGGCATGCCCCTCGTATCCATACTTTTGTACTTAGCATAAATCATAGTATCAAGCACATAATAGTTTTTCAAGAAACATTTGTTTAATGAACGGATACAAACATAATGGATGGCTTTTCAAATGGAAGGAAGGAAGGAGGGAAAGAAGGAAGGAAAGAAAAGAAAAGAAAAGAGCATGACTACTTGCACTTGCTATAACTAAGGAAAAAAATCATTTTTCCACCACTCCCTTTCCCCTTCCAGAATTTTCTGGTGAGCAAGAAATCCTGTCTTATGAGTTTGATGAAAACAGGTTAAAGAAAAAATTGCTTAATTTCTTTACATTGGTTATTTCATTTTGTTGTTTTGGTAGAGGTGATGTCTGTAGGTTTTTAAAACTTTTATTCTTCAGAATGAATGCATTTTTAAAAAAATGTAGGCCTTTAAAAATAATAATTATGCTATATTAACTATATTTTTCTAATTAAATGTAGAAGTGGAATTCTATTCATAGCAGAATTGTACTTACAGGAAATAATCAAAGTCTATATTTATATGGTTTCAATACACAAGTAAAACTGAAGAATCTAGTTAATTTTACCTTTAGAGTGTAAGTTTTCAGTGAGGCCCTTTCTGTAATTAAAGATACTACATATTAAATTAATTAAATGTCATTTCATTAAGATATTAATAATACTGTTCATGTATTCCAGTTCTTCTATATTTCTATATTTAAGTAGCACCAACAATTATAAAAGAACAGAAACATGTTTAAGACCGAAGAAACATTTGTCCCTAGAGATATTATGAATAAAATATCACCTTTCTTAATTTGAAAATCACCATTATTTTTAATCAGCATGTACTAATGAGCATTACCAATTTGCCCTTTCTTTTCATTCATAATATTTAGTTTATTGCTGGTATTTCAATGGAAATTCTATTGAGAAACAACTGAGGTGCTGCTAAGGAGAAAGGCTAGACTGAGAAACTTTGCTTTATAGTGTCAGGATTCATCTTGCACTCCCTTTGAGACTACTGAAATGCTTCTGATTCTCCATCTTCATTCTTCAATGTGTAAAATGAAGTTGGCCTCTGGGCACTCAAGGCTGATTCTCATTCTTTTCACCCCTTTCTCTCTTTCTCTCTCTTTCAATACCTTCCTCATTGTTGGATTATTTTTCTTAATCTATAAATATTCTCAAAGATTTTCCATTATAAGATAAAACTTGTCTCTAACAATAGCCTTTCAACTATTACCCTCTATATTTTCTGTGATTGCTAAACTTCTTGAAAAAGCAATATTTACATGATCACTTCTTATTTCATGGTGGTCCATTTGTATCTCCTCTACTCTGTTGAAGCTTCTGCCACAAAGATCACCCATAACTTTTGGTCAAGAAAAATCAGTTCTTTTCCCAAGTTATCTGCCTAAAAACTCCTATAATGTTTGGCACTGTCTGTCTGCCTTCTTAACACTCTTCACCCTTTATTTTACATCATTCTATAGTCCTCATTTCCATGCTATTTCTGGATTGTTACTTATCTGGTCCTTTTATTCCTCTAGCCTTCTCATTTCTTTTCAAGTTTCCACCTTCTAAAGCATTCTTATGTCTGTACAACATCCCACTTGGCAGTTTCTTGGCTTCAAACTATCAACTAGTTACAAATGCCAAATTCATACTTTTACTCAAGATGTATTAGCTTCAGCCCCTCATTTCTGACTGCTTGCTGTACACCTCCACTTTGACAGTCTGCTGACAACTCAGACTCACTATATTCTTTTCATGTCTTTTCCTTGTTCTATTTTTCATTGCTGTTAGTATTGATTTTTATGATACTTTGTATTTTTTTTAAAAAGCCTTTTAACATATATTTAATCTCATTGCTACAAGAATAGTTTTCAATAGAAGGTTGAGACTTCCCTAACAAGAAAGAGAATATAAAAAAATCAGAGAATATAATTGAGATACAGGTAAAATGCTATGGCATTTTATCAAAGTGACCAAGGAGTAGGAAATAGTTATGCAATAAAGAAAACAGGAGACCTGGGACTTCCAAAACGGTGGAGCAAGGGGTTTCATAAATCTGTTCCTCCTTAAAAGCAATAAAAACACTGACAAAACTTGTCAAAACTTTTAAATCTTGAAATAAAACAAAGATTTCAAACAATCTGAGGAGTATTTACTCAAGAAAAACTCTGAATCCTGGTAAGAGCAGGGTGATTTGTGACATTTTGACTTGACCCATTTCTATCCCCCTCTCCTCAGCTCTGCAATCTTGCAATCACAGTAGCTATGAAAACTGTAACCTTGCAAACAAAGGAAGAGGCAGACTGAGTATGGCTCTCCTCACAATTCCCATCCCCAGTACATTGTCACAACTTGACCTTTCTCGTAGCTTTCTAGCAACACCCCACCCCACGAGCAAGGAAGCCCCTTCGCGGGCGGAGACTGCGGGTGGCAGAGGGGGGAAGCTTCGGAGCCGCGGAGGAGAGCACAGCAACAAGGGTGCAGAGGGCAAAGCGGAGAGATTCCCGCACAGAGGATCGGTGCCAACCAGCACTCACCAGCCCAAGAGGCTTGTCTGCTCACCCGCCGGGGCGGCCGGGGCTGCGAGCTGAGGCTCTGGCTTCAGTCGGAGCGCAGGGAGAGGACGGGTTGGCGGCGTGAACACAGACTGCAGGGGGTTAGTGCACCACGGCTAGCCGGGAAGGAGTCCGGGGAAAAGTCTGGACCTGCCGAAGAGGCAAGAGACTTTTTCTTCCCCCTTTGTTTCCTGTTGCGCAAGGAGAGGGGATTAAGAGTGCTGCTTAAAGGAGCTCCAGAGATGGGCGCAAGCCGCGGCTAAAAGCGCTGGACTCCAGAGACGGGCATGAGACGCTAAGGCTGCTGCTGCCGCCGCTAAGAAGCCTGTGTGCGAGCACAGGTCACTATCCACACCCCCCTTCCGGGGAGCCTGTGCGGCCCACCACCGCCAGGGCCCCGGGATGCAGGGACAACTTCCCCAGGAGAACGCACGGCGCGCCTCAGGCTGGTGCAACGTCATGCCGCCCCGCACTCCGTACCCCTCCCTCCCCCCGGCCTGAGTGAACCGCAGCCCCCTAAGCAGCTGCTCCTTTAACCCCGCCCTGTCTGAGCGAAGAACAGACCCCCTCCGGCCACCTACACGCGGAGGCGGGGCCAAATCCAAAACTGAGCCCCAGGAGCTGTGAGAACAAAGAAGAGAAAGGGAAATCTCTCCCAGCAGCCTCAGAAGCCGCGGATTAAAGCTCCACAATCAACTTGCTGTACCCTGCATCTGTGGAATACCTGAATAGACAACGAATCATCCCAAATTGAGGAGGTGGACTTTGAGAGCAATATTTATGATTTTTTTCCCTTTTCCTCTTTTTGTGAGTGTGTTTGTGTATGCTTCTGTGTAAGATTTTGTCTGTATAGCTTTGCTTCCACCATCTGTCCTAGGGTTCTATCCGTCCGTTTTTGTGGTTTTTTTTGTTTTTGTTTTTTTATAATTATTTTTTTATTTTAGTAACTTTATTTTATTTTATCTTACTTTATTTTATTTGATCTTCTTTCTTTCTTTCCTTCCCTCCTTCCTTCCTCCCTCCCTCCTTTTTTTCTTTCTTTCTACTTTTTCTCCCTTTTATTCTGAGCCGTGTGGATGAAAGGCTCTTGGTGCTGCAGCCAGGAGTCAGTGCTGTGCCTCTGAGGTGGGAGAGCCAACTTCAGGAGACTGGTCCAAAAGAGCCCTCCCAGCTCCCCATAATATCAAATGGCGAAAATCTCCCAGAGATCTCCATCTCAACACCAAGACCCAGGTTCACTCAGCAACCAGCAAGCTACAGTGCTGGACACCCTATGCCAAACAACTAGCGAGACAGAAACACAACCCCACCCATTAGCAGAGAGGCTGCCTAAAATCATAGTAAGTCCACAGAAACCCCGAAACACACCACCAGACGTGGACCTGCCCACCAGAAAGACAAGATCCAGCCTCATCCACCAGAACACAGGCACTAGTCCCCTCCACCAGGAAGCCTACACAACCCACTGAACCAACTTTAGCCACTGGGGACAGACACCAAAAACAACAGGAACTACGAACCTGCAGCCTGCAAAAAGGAGATCCCAAACACAGTAAGATAAGCAAAATGAGAAGACAGAAAAACACACAGCAGATGAAGGAGCAAGATAAAAACCCACCAGACCTAACAAATAAAGAGGAAATAGGCAGTCTACCTGAAAAAGAATTCAGAATAATGATAGTAAAGATGATCCAAAATCTTGGAAATAGAAAAGAGAAAATGCAAGAAACATTTAACAAGGGCCTAGAAGAACTAAAGATGAAACAAGCAACGATGAACAACACAATATATGAAATTAAAAATACTCTAGATGGGATCAATAGCAGAATAACTGAGGCAGAAGAACAGATAAGTGACCTGGAAGGTAAAATAGTGGAATTAACTACTGCAGAGCAGAATAAAGAAAAAAGAATGAAAAGAACTGAGGACAGTCTCAGAGACCTCTGGGACAACATTAAACGCACCAACACTCGAATTATAGGGGTTCCAGAAGAAGAAGAGAAAAAGAAAGGGACTGAGAAAATATTTGAAGAGATTATAGTTGAAAACTTCCCTAATATGGGAAAGGAAATAGTTAATCAAGTCCAGGAAGCACAGAGAGTCCCATACAGGATAAATCCAAGGAGAAATATGCCAAGACACATATTAATCAAACTGTCAAAAATTAAATACAAAGAAAACATATTAAAAGCAGCAAGGGAAAAACAACAAATAACACACAAGGGAATCCCCATAAGGTTAACAGCTGATCTTTCAGCAGAAACTCTGCAAGCCAGAAGGGACTGGCAGGACATATTTAAAGTGATGAAGGAGAAGAACGTGCAACCAAGATTACTCTACCCAGCAAGGATCTCATTCAGATTTGATGGAGAAATTAAAACCTTTACAGACAAGCAAATGCTGAGAGAGTTCAGCACCACCAAACCAGCTTTACAACAAATGCTAAAGGAACTTCTCTAGGCAAGAAACACAAGAGAAGGAAAAGACCTACAATAACGAACCCAAAACAATTAAGAAAATGGGAATAGGAACATACATATCGATAATTACCTTAAATGTAAATGGACTAAATGCTCCCACCAAAAGACACAGGTTGGCTGAATGGATACAAAACAAGACCCGTTTATATGCTGTCTACAAGAGACCCCCTTCAGACCTAGAGACACATACAGACTGAAAGTAAGGGGAAAAAAGATATTCCATGCAAATGGAAACCAAAGGAAAGCTGGAGGGCTTCCCTGGTGGTGCAATGGTTGAGAGTCCGCCTGCCTACACATCACCATAGACCCTGATAACGCAATTCCCTATATTCTACACGTATGCCCTTGGAAACGTGGTGTATTCAAAGGTAACAAAATTGTTAATGAGATATTATTAACTACCATACTGGGAAAGATGCGTGATGAGAATAAATTAAAAAGTAACTTAAAAAAAAAAAAAGTAACTTAAATTTCCCCTTTCTAATAAATAACCCAGAGGGAAATTTAGTTTTCCATTTCAGTCATTACCTTTCTAAATAATCAGAGCTTTGGGGCATACATTTTATGTCTATAGTGCTATACTCTCTTGTCCATTTTTTAATATTTATTTGTGGGGCAAATTCCTGGAAGTAGAAATATTTAGTTAAGCCATTTACATTTAAAATTGTGGTAAACACTTTCAAATAGTTATATCAGTTTATGAGCCAGACAGTGTCCTATGAGAATATCTCTTTATAGGACTAGGTATTATAAAAACATGTACATATAGTTAATTGAACATGAAAAATAGGTTAAAGGCTTTGGTATATGTGAAGTTTTCTTTGTTTCTCTCTAGTAAAACATTCATTTATGCAAATTGCCTGATGGTCCCTGAAAATAATTGCTTGCTTGGGAATGGGAGTGAGGAGTATTCCTACAAAGCTTTTGATGAGAGAGGAGGTGAGAGGTGTAGAAGACTAACAGGGAAGAACTGAGGGACTGTAATTCATCAAAGGAATAATTGTTCTATTCGGGAGAGAATTCAGTGTCCCATCGTGGTTAGATCCTGCTGAGGAAATTATTAAAATGTTGGTAAATGGATACAATTTAAAAATGTAGAAAGCATACAGCCAGTAGCAATCTTGTACTGCCTGGAAGTACTAGCCCCTCATCCTTGCTTGCCTCAACAAAGAATGTTTTAGGAAAAGGTCTGTACCTAGCATAGGAGGTGTAGAGAGCTGCTCCAAATAAGAAAGTACATAGAGAGTAGGATGAATGCCAGCGCTGTTAACAAGCAGAAGGGAAATTTCAGAATGGCAACCACAGTGATCCAGTTACCACCACTGTAATAGAATATGCTATGGGTGAAGAGCCAACCCGCCCATCCCCACTCTCTACTTCTAGTTGGCTTGACCTCAAATGTCACCATAGTCATAGCTGTTAGCATCTTGTGAAATGTTCCTGTCACTTTTCAGACATTTGGCTTTACAAAGCCCATTAACATTTCTCCATGTGATAGGTAGATTTTGAACTAGAGTGAGCTTATTCCAGGCATTTCAATAAAGTAGCATATTTTTTGCCATTTTTAATGTAATTCACAGGATAGAAATGTAAATTTCAGTTTTCATTTTAATCATCAAATGACAATCCTAATGTTCCTTAGTTCTGGAATTTTAACTAGTCTTTTGTAAAGGGTAGCAAGTGAATCAAAATTGCCATTATTATTTTTTATATAAGTAATAAATCTGAGTTTCCTGTTCTATAAAAGGCAGTGAGGTCTGCTGTGTGTGAGAAGGAACGTAAGAGGAACTTCAAACGGTAGAACATTGTTGAATTAGGAGTGTTTATGACTCCTTTAAGCAAAACAGAGCTGCTGATCCATGAATCAGACTCTTAAAGTTATAGAAAGGGAGCTAAGAAGAATTAAATAATCAGATTTAATATATCTTACCTTTGTATAGTCATTTTTGTTGATTTTGGCAGCATTTCTGAGACCATAAAACTTCAAAACGTATTTTCACTGATCAGATAAGCACTCTTAGCATGCTGATTTGAAGGACTTTAGAAGAAATTTGGGGAACTTAAAGGCAACTCAGGATACATCGTTAGGTGAGGATGAATTGGTAAATATTGCTGGCTACACAAGAGCTTTTGCAGGCTTCATAATTTTGAAAAATATTTGCAAGACATGTTCATGATTGTTCTTCCCAGGGCGGTCCCTTAAATTTGAATTAATGTTGCCATTATGATTTGGACAAGCTGAGCCTGTAAAGAAGGCAAAGTCCATTTTTATTGATATTACTGTTGGAAGGCTGCTACAATATTTTAAGCAGTATAAATGTAATTGCTTCTGAACAGTTGTTAATCTGTTGTAATATAAAGAAAACTAGACTAAAATTTTCATACATATATGAGAACGTTCCTGTTTGTGCTGGTTATGTATATCATGTATATCATCCATCTTAAAAAGAAAAAACTTTGTGCACATTTTCAGTTCTGTCCTCAATTGTATAAACAATTATTTACAAAAGGCCTATAATTTGGAAAGTCTTGATAAATATAGTAGTTATAAACAAAGCTGATCTTTAACCAATTACGCTCTGTTTGTTAAAATATTTTCACAGATGCTTTTCCTCATATGTTGGCAAATACTCAATTGTTTGAGCTCCACTTAGGTGTAACTTTTGATCTCTAGCCACCACAGCCCCTCCCTTTGGCCCCCCGGACTTCCCAACAATTCAGCAACAAATAAAGTGTTAACACATGCCTCAGGACTTGGATCCTGTGTCCTTCCTGACTGGTCAGAGCTGGAATATAGGTTTGATAGTTATTTCAAATATTACCACTGGATACAAAGATAGATGTCATATGGTTCCTGCTTCCTAGGAATTCATATCTGGTGATAGAAATAGATATCCATAAGTCATCTCAGTACAAGGTACACACTGATGTACCACGAGTTTAAACATGGCACTGCAGAGCATGATATTGGGAAACGTTAACCCTAACAGTGGGAGTCCAAGAGGGCATCTTAGGGGATAATGGGTTTATCTGGACCTCAAAGGATGAACTGGGATTTATCCGCCGATACGGTGGGGAGCACATTCTAGCAGAGGAAACAACCTTATTGAAAACACAGAGAAGTTACTTTCTGTAAATAATGAATAGAGGGGTGTGTCTGGAGTGTGTGTTTGTGGTAGCCAATGCAGAGTGACATACAGTTAGAAAAACAGGCAGACTTAGCTGGACAGAGTTGTGTTTTACTTCTTACTGCAGTTGGAGCCATTGAAGATGTCTGAGGGGCATGAGTCAACTGAGTTTTAGGAAGAAAAGTCTGGAGGTAACATAAAATGGATAGGAGGTACAAGAGAGGGTGCATAGATCTGAGAGATCATTTAGGGGCCTTTAGCAATATTCTGGTTGATTAGTTCTCAGTATTAGTTTGTGCCTCTTCTCCCAAAAGCAGACCCTGAGAAAAGAGTTTAATTGCAAGTAGTTTTCTTGAGAGGTGATCACAGGAAGCACGCTGACCAAATGGGGAAGTAAGATGCTGAAGGGAAAAAGTCAGAAAATGAGCTAGATATCAGATTACTGCTGAGACCTGGGGAACCTCACTGGAAGCTTTCTGAGAGAATTGTCAGACTGAAGGGTAAAGAAATTGGGGTAAACATCCTCTACCTCCTTTCCCTCAATGATTAAAGTTTGTTCTTAGGGCAGATTCCCATGGCAGTGAATTCCCACTGGAAAAGTCATAGCAAACCACTGGTGTGAATGCGAACTGTCTGCAGAGGGGATTTTCATGGGGCACTGAGTCATATGTGGCATATACTAAAGTAGGTGTCATGGCATATTAATTGGTAGGTAGAAATTTTGAGAAATGGATGGAACTGGAATTATCACAGGAGCCTGCAGTGAACTGCAATCATGTTTCAGGCGTACCTATGTGGAGGTTTAAATTTGAATGCCTCTTTGGCCATGGAACAAAAAGTTAAGGTTGACCACTTTAATGAACATTAAGGGCAGACCAAACTAGGCCAGTGATAGTGGGTTAAAAAAAACAGAAGTGAAGTTTCAAGAAAAGTAACAATGGAAAATGATGCTGTAGCAGCTTGGGTTTCCAGGGAATCAGACTCTGAGATGGGAGATTAGTTTATAGGACATTTATTAGGGAATGTGTTGTGATCAACACTTGTGAAAGGAAAAGGTAAGAAAACATACTGACCAGAGGGAATAGTTGAGTTTCCGGACAGGCGGAGTGAAGGCTTTTAGTCAACTCACTGGGCCCTCTGAAGCTGGGATGGTCCTCTGGACTTGTCCCAAGTTAGGAGAAGGGGACTGGGCCTTTATGCTGCTGTGCTGATCAGTCATTGAAAGTGGACTACATGTGGAAGGAGGTTTGACCTTGGGTGAGGCTTTTTTGTTTTTTCTCTCAAGGCGCCATGCCTAAAGAGGGCTTGACCAAATAGTCATTTTCCAGCATTATTCCTAGTAGCAACAGAAATAAGTCCTTCATTCCTGAAAAGGAAAATGGTTGATGTAGTATAATGTCTATCACAGCTGCATTTGATGAAGATCGAATAAGGAGAGAGAAGGGAGAAAGGCGAGTCAGGTGTACTTCTGATAGTAAGCAACTCTAAGGAAGGTGATACCATTAACTGTGAGAGAGAGATCAGCAGGATAGATTTACTAGTTAAGGAGGGAAAGCCCAGTTCTATCTTGATTTGAAGATTATCTTTTTTGTGTCAGTAAATTTCAGAAAAATGGAAAAATATTGAATCAGTCAACCTAGATATGAAAGCATAGAACCTTAAAGGGAAACAGACACACAAAATCAAGCAAACAAAAACACCGTGTGTAAAGGCAGAAATGTGTTAATGACTAAATGCATTAAAATGTAATGGCCTAATTCTCTCCTTAACAACCAGAAAATGACCTCTCTGGTCATTAGAATGCAAAAAGCTAATATTACTGTCCATTATTACAGGATTAGTATGTAACAAAATATAGAAATGTAGTAATGGCCTGTGGCTTATTTGTAGTAGTGAAATATGCAACTAAATTTCCATTCGTCTCAGGTAGAAACTTGATTTTTTGTACAAGGCCAATATTTAGTGAAGATGATTAGGCATTAATGGTTAGCATATACTTTAGTAACAATAATCCTTAAATTTATTTTGATTGCAATAACATGATTCACAAATATGATTTAGAGATGTCTATAAACATGCATGTTCACAACATAGAGCAACTCACTCCTAATATAGCACTAAGAAAATGAACTTGTAAGAATTAAGGTTATACAATTGGATGTAACCTACATATCATTTTTTCTAATAGTTTGCTCCATTTGCTCTTCAGTAATCTACATGGAACACATATGTCTCTGGCA